AAACTTAAAAGCGAATTAGATACATTAAAGGATGATCTATTGTCTTTTACACAAAAAGGATACATTAACCATTGACTTAATCAGCCCCTGACAATGGCAAGCCCCTTCCAGAGCCTGCAGCTAAACCCTAATGCAAACATCTTCAGTCCTGTTAAAAGTCACATCCCAGATATGAATGTCAGTAATAGGAGTGATTCAGTAAGAAGGAAGCCACTGGAATACGATGGGAAAGCACAGTGGGAAGCATATAGAGCACAATTTGAGCTACTGGCAGAGATGAATGGATGGACAGAGGAGCAGAAAGCTGTATATCTGGCAACGAGCTTGAAGGGACAACCACTGGAAATACTTGGACAGTTGACAGCAGCCGACATACACAGCTATAGAACACTGGTAGAGGCTCTGGAACTCAGGTACAGAACCCAAAATCAGTCAGAAGTCTACAGGGCTAGGTTTAGGACGAGAATCCATGCTAAAGGGGAGAGCCTGCAAGAGCTGCCACAAGACTTGGAAAGCATGGTACACAAGGCCTACCCAACTGCACCACCCGATCTCCTCAAGTTGTTGCTGAGATATCAGTTCGTAGATGCCTTGGACAGTCCACAACTTAAGATACAAGTGAAGTAAGCACACCCCCTCTACCATGCAGGATGCAATGGCCAGAGCTCTCGAATTTGAATCCTACATTAAGTCCAGCACAGAGGTGCCAAGGTTGGTACAGTCATCTGGATTCAAGGCCAGAAAAGGTCAGCTTTCAGAGAGGCTAGAGGGACTTTGCTGGCACTGTAACAAACCTGGGCACAAGAGAGCTCAATGCTAGCAACTTCAACACAGGGGAGATGCCACAGCAGGAAAGGCTGGAATCTAGAAAGGTTGTTGGAACTGTGGAAAGCACGGACATTTAAGGAGCCACTGTAAGAAAAATATTACCAACAAGTCAGCCTCAAGGAGACCAGTAGTGGTTGGTGTTGAGGAACACTCATCAACCCCCATCATGAAAGTCCCTAGAACTAGGTGTAAAATGCCAAGCGCAAACAGCATCTATGTGACAGGAAAGCTGGATGGCCAAAGGTGCAACTTTGTCATAGATTCTGTGTCTCAGCAAACCCTTGTGAGCATCAAGGTGTTAGATCACGAAGGAGTACCAG